GGCTTAATCAGACTAGATATTCTGCAGTGGGATTCAAACCTACAACCTTTAGGCTAGTGGTCCAGCACAAACCATTTGTAACACCAAGGGAACTATTTTTGTTCAATTGCTTCATGGAAGTGTATTATCTGCCCAGCTAGACTGAGAGCTCCCAAGAGTTGGGATTATATTTTGAATGCTTTTTGTGCTTCCCAAGTAACCAGAAAACAGTTTTTTGTGCTTCCCTAATAGCCACAAAGCATTTTTTCTTTATCTTATCAATAAACACCTCCTACACATCTACCATGTGTCAAGTATTGTACTGAATCTTGTGATAAAAACAATGAGCCGTATCATTCAATTAAATCAAGTCTCCGCTCCTGCCTATGACCCCACAACGCCAAGGATCAGCTCCCGAACTTGGCTTATTGTTCATCCCAAATTCTTGGAAACGGAGGGCCATTCCTATGATCTGGATTCAATGAGGAAACAGAGAGAATAAAAGAAAGTCATCAGCCCTCTCCTTGGAGAACATTCCCATTAGGGAGACCCAGGAAGACTCTGCAGAATAAAGCAGTAGCATAGAGTGTGGAGGCTTGAAACTGGCATCTAGAATGAGAAGCAGAGCATACGGAAAAGAAAGTGAAGCTGTCTTACAGTGATTTGGTCTATTGGTAAAATGCTGGAGAACTTCCCTTGAGCCCTACATTAAGTGAAGTACGTAACCTAGTGGAAGGAATAAAGGACATATTTTGGCTCATACTATCTGGTAAGTCCAGGGCAAAGCTGGCTTCACCCAGCGTGAATAAGGTAAGGAATTGAAAAGTTATCATTAAGGCTTTCTCTCTTTATACCTCTTGGCTCTGCTTTCTCAAACTCAGCTTTTGGACTCAGTTGAATAATGTCCCCCTAAAATGCATATCCTCCAGAACCTGCAACGGTGATCTTATTTGAACATAGGGTCTTTGAAAATGCAATCAAATTGATATACTATCACACTATATTAGAATGGGCCATACAAATAAATAAATTAGAGTGAGCCCTAATCCAATGAGTAAAACTAAAAAACAAACTCACTGCCAGCAAGCTGTTAAAATCGTTTTATTAGCAATTCATCCACATGTCGTACAATTCAGTAATGCAATCATATCAAGAAGAGTTGTGCTATTATCACCACAGTCAATTCTAGAACACTTTCTTCTTCCTTGTACTCATTGTTATTCATGTAATTTTTTTTTCTAATTGTGGCAAAAAAATACCTAACAAAACATTCTCCAATGCCACAACTTCTACATGTATAATTCAGTGCCATTGATTATACTCTTTGTGTTGTACAACCATTATTGATATCTTTTTCCAAATTACTCCACCTTATTCCACCACCATTAACATAAACTCAGTGCTACCTGAGCAACACTTCTTTCCCCTTCACCCATGGTAACCACTGGTCAAATTTGGTTTCTCTCTCTCTCTCTCTTTTTTTTTAGTAGTTTTCTTGATATAGTATTCACATATCATACACTTCCATGGTTAGATTGCTTTTTAAAAGAGTTGTACATACATTGTCACAATCTGTTTCAGTGCTAACTCCCCATTCCTGAATTCGTTGTTTGCACCCCAAAAATCCCTTACCGTCCCCAACACCCAACCACTGCCAGCAAGTTGATTCCGATCTGACTCATAGAACAGGCAGCTTGCTATTCCTTCTGTGGAGCAGCTGCCTGACTTTGCAGTTAGGGGCCAATCTGTAACCCACTGCACCACCAGGGTTCAAGCCAAGGACTAGACTCCTTATAATAAGAGAACTTCAACATAATCCCATCCAAATTCCACCACAGTTCTTTACAGAAATGGAAAAATCAATCTTCAACTTCATGTGGAATGGCAAGAGGTCTCAAAGAGATACTGCAATGTTGAAAAAGAAGAACAATGTAGGAAGACTAACATTCCCTGATTTTAAAACATACTATGTATGTATAGTTATCAAAACAGACTAGTGTTGGTATAACAATAGATATCGACACAAATGGAATCGAGTTGAGCAGATCTAAATTCACACATGAATGATCAACTAGGGTTGGTTTTTTGTTTTATTTTATTTTATTTACTTATCCTTTGGACAAGCTAGAATTAAGAACAGAACTAGTCCAGGGCACAGGCCCAGGGGAAAGGGTCAAAATCAGACTGCTTCGATATGAGTGAAGCGTGCCTCTCAGGTGCTTGTGGTGATCGCATGGCAGTGGAAGCGCTAGATCCATAGAAGTTCTAGAGAGTAGCATGCCATCAACAACTTGTATCAGCGTTCTGGTTCTCAGGGACTCCATATCCCAGCGGCTGCCTTCTGTTGGTGCACACACTGGGTTATTTGGACTGCTGCTTCAGCTTTCTTCTCCTGCGCTTCCGTCTGAGCATTTGCTTCTTCTTCCACTTGGCTCTCATGGTTTGGAGGTTTCTAACAAGATGATGCTAAGGCTCAGAGAGGGTTAACTGATTTTTGACAGGCATGCTAAGTCGATTTCATGGAGAAAGAAGAGTCTCTTCAATCAATGATGCTGTGAAAACCTGGGGGCGTGGACAGAAAAATGAAATAGGATATATGCCGCACATCATACACAAAACAAATTCAAAACGGATTAAGTATCTAAATATGAACACTCGAACCATAAAACGCTAGAAGAACAAACAGAGCCAAAGTTGTCAGGACCAGTTTTTTTTCATTACAGATTATCTAATATGATAACAAAAGCACAAAGAGCAAAAGAAAACATAAATCAGTGGGACCAGGTAAGCCATTTAAAATTTTGTTTATCAAAAGAACTTCCAAAAAAAAAGTAT